AATGTATTTTTTCACTGAAAGTTTGTTTTTGATAAACCGTTGCTCTGACATAAAAAAAAATTGGAACCACCACTATTTTTATTCTCCAGGGACTCTACCTTCAGAAAATGTATAAGATTTGGAGGTTTAACTAATCTTCAGACCAAAAATTATTATGATTTTTTTTTTTTAAAGATTAAGTTGCATCAAGTAAATAGATACCAAACACGTCAAACCTTAAAACTGCAGGTGCCTGTGAAATGGAGCCAAACTTTGCTACTGAAAATTTCCCATAGGTTGCGCTTTAGAATTTTACGTGCTTGGGAGTAAGCACATAAAAAAAAAAAATATATATATATATATACTATATACAAAAAAAATATTTATATATATATATATATATATATATATATATATATAAAAATATTTTTTTTGTTTTTTGCTTTTTTTCCATCACATAGGGGACAAAAGGTGATCTATTTTTTTTTTTTTTTTCCTTTTTTTTTTTTTTTTTAATCTCATAGGGGACAAAAAGTGATAATATGTATATATTTTTTTTTTGTGACAGGTTCTCTTTTCTGAGACTAGTCCTTTTTATACCCCGGATTCTTCACTGATCGCACTGCATTAGATTCTTTCCCATGCTGGCCGGGGACACTGACAGGGGGACCCGAAAGTGACATTTTACACCTTGCTTCTGGGTCAGCGAGAGGAAGGAAAGGAGAGCGGATTTGTGTCCATTCAGCTCCCACCCCTCTATGCCGGTCTCTGGCCCTTAGATGGGCAAGCAGAGCCCAGGATAGGGGAGATCAACGAATGGACGTTCGATGGTCTCCCTCTCCTCCTTTTGGCAGCACCTGCCATGTGGATCCCGGGGCTCTCGGGTACTGGGGGAGTTGCACAAGGGGGAATGGCTGGGGGAAAATTTTACACTTTTTTTTTTTTTTATTTTTTTACTTTTTTTCTTCACATGGAAGACATATACATCTCACCTTTTATCTCCTATGTGAAGAAATAAAACCAAAAACCAAAAACAAAAAAAAAAGGAAAAATATTTATATATATATATATATATATATATAATTTTTTTTTTTTTTTTCCCTGTCATCCTTTTTGAATATTGCCCCCCTCCTTCTCTGGGATCTCTTGAATTGGCTCTAATATCCCTGATGGTATTCAGTGGAGGGAACGCCGTTTGTTTTTCCGTTGGTGTTGAGTCCTCCAGCTCCGGCGCTGTAAGCTGTCAGTGTGATCACGGGAGGTTAACGGCCCAGCTGTGACAGGCGCACAGGCGTGTCCGAAACAATGACGGCTTCCAGGATGTGACCGGTCAGGCGTAGAATTGTGGCGATTCCATTGAGAAATCGTTGGTTCAGGTCAGACGTAGGTCAGGGGCGAGAGCCGAATCTTCAGCGTTACTCTAAACAACAAATAAAAACCACCCGATGGCTGATGTGCGTATACAAACGTCCCGACAGAAAATGCTTAGTACAAGGTCCTTCTTTTTTTTTTTTTCTCAGCCGGAAATTGGATTGTAGCTCTGAGCTGGGCTGGAAGATCTGGTTGTAGCCTTGAGCTGGGTTGGAAGATCTGGTTGTAGCCTTGAGCTGGGCTGGAAGATCTGGTTGTAGCTCTGAGCTGGGTTGGAAGATCTGGTTGTAGCTCTGAGCTGGGCTGGAAGATCTGGTTGTAGCTTTCAGCTGGGTCGGAAGATCTGGTTGTTGCCTTCAACTGGGATGGAAGTTCAGGTTGCAGCCTGAGCTGGGTTGGAGTATGGGATTGTAGCCTTGAGCTGGGTTGGAAGATCTGGTTGTAGCCTTGAGCTGGGTTGGAAGATCTGGTTGTAGCCTTGAGCTGGGTTGGAAGATCTGGTTGTAGCCTTGAGCTGGGTTGGAAGATCTGGTTGTAGCCTTGAGCTGGGCTGGAAGATCAGGTTGCAGCTCTGAGCTGGGCTGGAAGATCAGGTTGCAGCTCTGAGCTGGGCTGGAAGATCAGGTTGCAGCTCTGAGCTGGGCTGGAAGATCGGGTTGCAGCTCTGAGCTGGGGGCTGGAAGATCGGGTTGCAGCTCTGAGCTGGGGGCTCTGAGCTGGGCTGGAAGATCGGGTTGCAGCTCTGAGCTGGGGGCTGGAAGATCGGATTGCAGCTCTGAGCTGGGGGCTGGAAGATCGGATTGCAGCTCTGAACTGTGGGCTGGAAGATCGGATCGTAGCCTTGAGTTGGGCTGGAAGATCAGGTTGTAGATCTGAGTTGGGCGGGAAGATCTGGTTGTAGCTCTGATCAAAGTCCCGGAACTCCTGGAACATCTCTATCTTGTTACTTTTTTTCTTTTAATTTCTAAAATCGTTGCAGAATGGCTGCTGATTTGTACCCTTTGTTGGTAGAGGGGCTCGCTGCCGTTTCTTGAAGGACCGCACTTTGCCGGCTCTTGATTAACCTTTTGAAAACAGAAATTTCCAACAACTGTCCATGTGAAGTGAGTCACGTGACCCTGTCAGAGCCGTTTCGGCGAGCTCCGTGCCTCTCCTCCCAGGTATTGGCTGCTCCGGCTTTCATTGTGTCAGGCCTCCATTATGTTCCCTGGTTACCTAACAAGGAGGCCGGTTGCTGGGTGACCAGGATGACTCCACTCCGGCTGGAGCGACTCCTGAACACGGAGCACTAATTCAACGGAACACTTCAGAGCTCAATGGGAATAAAGGGCTCTTGGCTTCTAATAAACGTTCCTGCCTGAAGGTTCCTGGAAGAGCGGCGTGCAGCCTACGTTACTTCTGCACCCCCGAGAGCTCACGTCTCGTTATCCTTGGTATTAATGGAAAGCCAATTATTCCGGCCACTGAATGGAGGAGCACCTGGGGGGGGGACCACCTTCTGGTTTTTGCTGTTGTCTGTGACAACACCCGACAGGAAGCCATCACTCCATTGTGGAATTATTCCCATCCCATAGAGCTGTCACCAGACGACCACTTGGAGACTTTGTGGGGGTTCCGGCACTCTCAATCCTATTTGTTTCTCGTTTCAGCAACCAAACTAAATCTGAGCTGGGTTGGAGGATGGGATTGTAGCCTTGAGCTGGGTTGGAGGATGGGATTGTAGCCTTGAGCTGGGTTGGAGGATGGGATTGTAGCCTTGAGCTGGGTTGGAGGATGGGATTGTAGCCTTGAGCTGGGTTGGAGGATGGGATTGTAGCCTTGAGCTGGTTTGGAGGATGGGATTGTAGCCTTGAGCTGGTTTGGAGGATGGGATTGTAGCCTTGAGCTGGTTTGGAGGATGGGATTGTAGCCCTGGGTTGGAGGATTGAGCTTGAGCTGGGTTGGAGGATGGGATTGTAGCCTTGAGCTGGGTTGGAGGATGGGATTGTAGCCTTGAGCTGGGTTGGAGGATGGGATTGTAGCCTTGAGCTGGGTTGGAGGATGGGATTGTAGCCTTGAGCTGGGTTGGAGGATGGGATTGTAGCCTTGAGCTGGGTTGGAGGATGGGATTGTAGCCTTGAGCTGGGTTGGAGGATGGGATTGTAGCCTTGAGCTGGGTTGGAGGTTGGAGGATGGGATTGTAGCCTTGAGCTGGGTTGGAGGATGGGATTGTAGCCTTGAGCTGGGTTGGAGGATGGGATTGTAGCCTTGAGCTGGGTTGGAGGATGGGATTGTAGCCTTGAGCTGGGTTGGAGGATGGGATTGTAGCCTTGAGCTGGGTTGGAGGATGGGATTGTAGCCTTGAGCTGGGTTGGAGGATGGGATTGTAGCCTTGAGCTGGGTTGGAGGATGGGATTGTAGCCTTGAGCTGGGTTGGAGGATGGGATTGTAGCCTTGAGCTGGGATGGAGGATGGGATTGTAGCCTTGAGCTGGGATGGAGGATGGGATTGTAGCCTTGAGCTGGGATGGAGGATGGGATTGTAGCCTTGAGCTGGGTTGGAGAGCCTTGAGCTGGGTTAGTAGCCTTGAGCTGGGTGGAAGATCGGATTGTAGACTTGAGCTGGGTTGGAGGATCGGATTGTATTGCCCCCTTCCACTGGTGGCCAGTAAGAGAAAAGAGAAAGACCCCCTTCCATTGGTGGCCAATGGGAGAAGGACCCCCTTCCATTGGTGGTCAATTGGTGGCCAATGGGAGAAAGACCCCCTTCCATTGGTGGCCAATGGGAGAAAGGCCCCCTTCCATTGGTGGTCAATGGGAGAAGGACCCCCTTCCATTGGTGGTCAATGGGAGAAGGACCCCCTTCCATTGGTGGTGGTCAATGGGAGAAAGGACCCCCTTCCATTGGTGGCCAATGGGAGAAGGCCCCCCCTTCCGTTGGTGGTCAATGGGAGAAGGACCCCCTTCCGTAGGTGGTCGGTGGGAGAAGGACCCCTTTTCCGTAGGTGGTCGGTGGGAGAAGGGACCCCTTTCCGTAGGTGGTCGGTGGGAGAAGGACCCCTTTCCGTAGGTGGTCGGTGGGAGAAGGGCCCCCTTCCGTAGGTGGTCGGTGGGAGAAGGGCCCCCTTCCGTAGGTGGTCGGTGGGAGAAGGGCCCCCTTCCGTAGGTGGTCGGTGGGAGAAGGGCCCCCTTCCGTAGGTGGTCGGTGGGAGAAGGGCCCCCTTCCGTAGGTGGGTGGTCGGTGGTCGGAGAAGGGCCCCCTTCCGTAGGTGGTCGGTGGGAGAAGGGCCCCCTTCCGTAGGTGGTCGGTGGGAGAAGGGCCCCCTTCCGCAGGTGGGTCGGTGGGAGAAGGGCCCCCTTCCGTAGGTGGTCGGTGGGAGAAGGGCCCCCCTTCCGTTTTGTGGTCAATGGGGAGAATGGTTACCTTTTTATTAACGGTCAGTGATAGAGTAGAGAAAAGAGCTGGCTTCTACTGAGTGTCAGTAAGAGAAGAGGCCCCTGGCCAATGGTGGTCAGAGGAAGAAGGGACCCCTTTCATTAGTAGCCAGTCAGTAGTCAGAGGGGCCGTCAGTAGCGGGCGATTTGTTGTCCAGCCATCAGCACTGTTCGGTCCAAGGTAGAAGTACCTTTTCAGCAGTTTTGGCTGTCCAGGAGGCTTTAGAACGATGCTGGGCTGCTGGATGGAGAAAGTACTTGCTGGCATTGGATCAGGCAAAGGCTTTTGATGGAGTGAATCATGAATATCTGTGGTTGCTGCTTGGTAGATACGGCCTGCAGGGGAGATTTCTAGATCGGCTGAAGACATTATATAGAGGGGCTGAGAGCTTCCCACTTGTTAATGGTTGGGTTGGGCGGCCTTTGGAGGTCAGCTCTGGTGTGCGCCAGGGATGTCCTTTGAGCCCCGTACTATATGCTTTCACAATCAACCCCTTTGTAAGAAGGCTAGAGAGTGCATCATTGTGCGGGGGTGCCTCCAGGCATTGCTGGTACTCAGCCTTTGAAGGTCGTGGCCTATGCTGATGATGTGTCTGTTCTTATCTCTGGAACTGAGGAGGAGCAGGAGGTGGTCTCTGTGATAGAGCAGTACACGGAGGCTTCTGGCTCTAAAGTCAACCATGAAAAGAGTGACGTTTTCTGGATGGGTGAGGAGGGTGAAAGCTTCAAACGTCCGGATGCCTTTCCAGAGCCCCAGCAGGAAATTAAAGTGTTGGGCATCAAATTTGGTCCTGGTGACTATGGCCATGGAAACTGGGAAAGCAGGTTGGTAGATGCCAATGCCAAAGTAGCAAGCTGGAGGAGATGGAGGCTTTCCTTGAGGGGAGAGGGTTGACTTGGCCAAAACTTGCCTGATCCCGATCTTTTTATATGTCAGCTTCGTCTGTATCTTGCCGGTATCTCTCTATGCACGGGTCTACAGCTGTTATGGGGAACTAGGCTGAACCTGATCAAACGCAATGTAACTTACCTGTCAGGTGGGAGGGTGGCCTAGGAATGGTCAACCCGATTAGTTTTCTTTTCTTTGTACTTTAAAAAGAGCAATCTTGGTAATATGTTAGCAGAGACACCGCCGGGATGGGTGGGTATTTTTCAGTCTTGGTTTTTCTGCGTTGCTAGGAAGATGGCAGGCCAGTGAAAAGTCTGAGAGTCCGACATGGCAAGTTCCCGCTTATGTTGCCCCGTGTCTGAAGATGCTTCAGCAGTGGCAGGTGACAGTGGAGGATATCAGGTCCCTTCCCAGGAAGCTTTTGGGGGAGAGGATTTTGGCTTCTGCTTTCAGTGTGTCACTGGCCTTAAAGGAGTGCCCAGGCTCCGTAATGAGGGAGGGGTTGCGTTTAACTTGGAGAGAATCCCTTTGAACTTCAGGGATCAAGCCTGGCTCGCTTTCCATGGAAGGCTTTATGTGAGAGGGAACCTGAAGCACCACCCTATGGATGATTGGGATTGTCCTAGAGTAGAGTGTGTTGGTAAAGTGGAGTCTATGGACCACTTTCTGCTCCAGTATCCCTTTGAAGTTTCAGGATCAAGCCTGGCTCGCTTTCCATGGAAGGCTCTATGTGAGAGGGAACCTGAAGCACCGCCCTCTGGATGATTGGGATTGTCCTAGAGTAGAGTGTGTTGGTAAAGTGGAGTCTATGGACCACTTTCTGCTCTAGTGTCCCTTTTAACATAGAGGTGTATAAAAGGGTGGGGAGGGTTCTAGGCATCCCCTTTCTCTATCGCATGAGTTATGCAGAGTGGGTGTACGGGGCATTCCCAGCTCGCTGGGACTTTGATTTGGATACACTTTTTCTAGTTAGTATGGTTGTTTGTTACTTCATATGGAACGCACGGTGTCAGATTACCCTGCGAAAGAAAGTCCTCCCTGTAGAGGTGGTGGTGCACCATATTCTGGGTGACGTTGGGAAGATTCGGAGTCTTGAGAAGGGCAGAGAGCCTCGGGCGGTCTGGATAAGGGCGTGGAGAAATATCAGAACTGCCTTTGGTGAACTGTCCATCTCTGGGGGAGGGGCGCTTTTCTTATGCTGTTCTTTTCACTCCTTTAGTTTTTGTTGGTCAAGATCTTCTTTTTGAAGACGGGATGCATACATAATGAGGGCGGTGCTGCATGCATAACGGGGCGGGGGGTTGTTTCTTGACCTCTCAGGTTTGATGTCTGGTGTAGTGATGTCAGTGGTAGTACGATTTATTCCCCCAGTAATGACGTTAATTTCTGATTTATTTATTTTTTTGCTTTTGTCGGATAGTAGATTTTTTATATATTTATTCTCGTTTTGGTGTAAATACGTATATAATTTATTTTTGTATATTCTGTATATTTTATGTTTATTGATTGCAAGACTTTTAATAAAGAAAAAATTGGGAGAAGGACCCCCTTCCATCCATAGCTGGTCGTGGGGAGAATGGTTACCTCTTTATTACCAGTCAGTGGTAGAGGAGGGGCCCCTGGCCAATAGTGGTCAGTGGAAGAAGGCCCCCTTCTAATGGTCGTCAGTAAGAGTATACACTGATCATACGTCCTCCATTATTGATATAAAATTTGTCTTATAAACTGTTTCTGTGTGGACCTCATATATGAGAAGACAACAGCCTCCTTTCATCAGTGGTCAGTGGGAGAGGGGTCCTCTTCCATTCTTGGTCAGTAGGAGAAGGACTCCCTTCCATAGCTACACCACCTCCTAAAGGTGGTCAGTGGCAGAAGGTTGGAGAAGGACCCTCTCCCTTTGGCGGTCGCTTGGAGACGGATCCTCTCCCTTTGGCGGTCGCTTGGAGACGGACCCTCTCCCTTTGGCGGTCACTTGGAGAAGGACCCTCTCCCTGTTGGCGGACGCTTGGAGAAGGACCCTCTCCCTGTTGGCGGACGCTTGGAGAAGGACCCTCTCCCTTTTGGCGGACGCTTGGAGAAGGACCCTGTCCCTTTTGGCGGACGCTTGGAGAAGGACCCTGTCCCTTTTGGCGGACGCTTGGAGAAGGACCCTGTCCCTTTTGGCGGACGCTTGGAGAAGGACCCTGTCCCTTTTGGCGGACGCTTGGAGAAGGACCCTGTCCCTTTTGGCGGACGCTTGGAGAAGGACCCTGTCCCTTTTGGCGGACGCTTGGAGAAGGACCCTGTCCCTTTTGGCGGACGCTTGGAGAAGGACCCTGTCCCTTTTGGCGGACGCTTGGAGAAGGACCCTGTCCCTTTTGGCGGACGCTTGGAGAAGGACCCTGTCCCTTTTGGCGGACGCTTGGAGAAGGACCCTGTCCCTTTTGGCGGACGCTTGGAGAAGGACCCTGTCCCTTTTGGCGGACGCTTGGAGAAGGACCCTGTCCCTTTTGGCGGACGCTTGGAGAAGGACCCTGTCCCTTTTGGCGGACGCTTGGAGAAGGACCCTGTCCCTTTTGGCGGACGCTTGGAGAAGGACCCTGTCCCTTTTGGCGGACGCTTGGAGAAGGACCCTGTCCCTTTTGGCGGACGCTTGGAGAAGGACCCTGTCCCTTTTGGCGGACGCTTGGAGAAGGACCCTGTCCCTTTTGGCGGACGCTTGGAGAAGGACCCTGTCCCTTTTGGCGGACGCTTGGAGAAGGACCCTGTCCCTTTTGGCGGACGCTTGGAGAAGGACCCTGTCCCTTTTGGCGGACGCTTGGAGAAGGACCCTGTCCCTTTTGGCGGACGCTTGGAGAAGGACCCTGTCCCTTTTGGCGGACGCTTGGAGAAGGACCCTGTCCCTTTTGGCGGACGCTTGGAGAAGGACCCTGGTCCCGGACGCTTGGAGAAGGACCCTGTCCCTTTTGGCGGACGCTTGGAGAAGGACCCTGTCCCTTTTGGCGGACGCTTGGAGAAGGACCCTGTCCCTTTTGGCGGACGCTTGGAGAAGGACCCTGTCCCTTTTGGCGGACGCTTGGAGAAGGACCCTGTCCCTTTTGGCGGACGCTTGGAGAAGGACCCTGTCCCTTTTGGCGGACGCTTGGAGAAGGACCCTCTCCCTTTTGGCGGACGCTTGGAGAAGGACCCTCTCCCTTTTGGCGGACGCTTGGAGAAGGACCCTCTCCCTTTTGGCGGACGCTTGGAGAAGGACCCTCTCCCTGTTGGCGGACGCTTGGAGAAGGACCCTCTCCCTGTTGGCGGACGCTTGGAGAAGGACCCTCTCCCTGTTGGCGGACGCTTGGAGAAGGACCCTCTCCCTGTTGGCGGACGCTTGGAGAAGGACCCTCTCCCTGTTGGCGGACGCTTGGAGAAGGACCCTCTCCCTGTTGGCGGACGCTTGGAGAAGGACCCTCTCCCTGTTGGCGGACGCTTGGAGAAGGACCCTCTCCCTGTTGGCGGACGCTTGGAGAAGGACCCTCTCCCTGTTGGCGGACGCTTGGAGAAGGACCCTCTCCCTGTTGGCGGACGCTTGGAGAAGGACCCTCTCCCTGTTGGCGGACGCTTGGAGAAGGACCCTCTCCCTGTTGGCGGACGCTTGGAGAAGGACCCTCTCCCTGTTGGCGGACGCTTGGAGAAGGACCCTCTCCCTGTTGGCGGACGCTTGGAGAAGGACCCTCTCCCTGTTGGCGGACGCTTGGGAAGGACCCTCTCCCTGTTGGCGGACGCTTGGAGAAGGACCCTCTCCCTGTTGGCGGACGCTTGGAGAAGGACCCTCTCCCTGTTGGCGGGCTTGGAGAAGGACCCTCTCCCTGTTGGCGCTTGGAGAAGGACCCTCTCCCTGTTGGCGGACGCTTGGAGAAGGACCCTCTCCCTGTTGGCGGACGCTTGGAGAAGGACCCTCTCCCTGTTGTTGGCGGACGCTTGGAGAAGGACCCTCTCCCTGTTGGCGGACGCTTGGAGAAGGACCCTCTCCCTGTTGGCGGACGCTTGGAGAAGGACCCCTCTCCCTGTTGGCGGACGCTTGGAGAAGGACCCTCTCCCTGTTGGCGGACGCTTGGAGAAGGACCCTCTCCCTGTTGGCGGACGCTTGGAGAAGGACCCTCTCCCTGTTGGCGGACGCTTGGAGAAGGACCCTCTCCCTGTTGGCGGACGCTTGGAGAAGGACCCTCTCCCTGTTGGCGGACGCTTGGAGAAGGACCCTCTCCCTGTTGGCGGACGCTTGGAGAAGGACCCTCTCCCTGTTGGCGGACGCTTGGAGAAGGACCCTCTCCCTGTTGGCGGACGCTTGGAGAAGGACCCTCTCCCTTTTGGCGGACGCTTGGAGAAGGACCCTCTCCCTATGGCGGTCATTGGGAGAAAAACACCGTCCAAGCTGGTCTGTGGTAGAACGGTAACCTTTCATTGCTGGTTAGCATTAGAAGTGTCTACTTTCGTTGCTGGTCAGCAAGAGCAGGGTCAACATTCGTTGCTGGTCAGCAAGAGAAGGGCCCCCTTCCTTTAGTGGTTAGTGAAGAAGGGCCCCCTTCCATTGGTAGTTAGTGAAGAAGGGCCCCCTTCCATTGATGGTCATTGGGAGAAAAACACCTTCCAAGTTGGTCTGTGGTAGAACAGTAACCGTTCTTTGCGGGTCAACGAACGTCCGTTGCTGGTCAGCGAAGAAGTCAACGTCCGTTGC